ATATATATAGTTTATCGTTTATCGTTTTATTATATTTTATCTTGTGACATTAATATTACATAGTTATAGAAAAATTTGTACATGTACAATATATCTATATACATGTATCGCCCTACATAAGAGCAGTGTAGAACAATCATCTATCTGTTCGATACCGTGCCTAACCCACAGGTTAGAGACGAAGTGACTGAGTTACTGACATTCGTCATGGAGAGCACCTGCCGCCCATTCCGCACACGCTTAGACCAGGTATGTTACTTTGATATTGATATTTAGATGGGTTACATTACTTTTTTGTATTTGTACTTTTGTATTTGTTCACCTACCTACTAACCTATTAATACCATCCTGTTTCTACCTGTCTGGTGGTGTGTTAGGTGCTTGGTTCCAATCCCGGAATCACCGTGTGCTATCGGCTGTCCAACTTGCTGCAGTTCTATGGCCACACCATTCGCCAGACCATCAAAGCCGAGTCTGAACTCGTTGGGGTCATTGAGGTAGGTTACCCTTATCTGTGGCATTAACGTATGTGTATATGTGTATATGTGGGTTTTCTTTATTTATGGCATTAACGTAAGTATATGTGGGTTTTTATTTATTTATGGCATTAACGTATGCGTATATGTGTATATGTGTATGTGGGGTTTCTTTATATATGGCATTAACGTTGTGTATATATGTATATTTGTATGTGGGGTTTTTTTTATGGCATTAGCGTATGTGTGTGTGTATGTGTATGTGGGGTTTGCTATTTGTGGCATCAACGCGTGTGTATATGTGTATATGTGTATTTGGGTTTTCTTTTTCATCTGCGGCATTAACGTTTGAGTAAATGTGTATGTGGGTTTGAATGTCTTGTAGTATGACAGGGTGTGTGTAAAAGAATTTGTTGCGGTCATTGCGGTATTTTATCCTTATCTGCGGCATTGAAGTGTCGGGATGTATTGCCTTACGGTGGTGTTTTGTTTTAGGGGTTTATGTGTCTGTAAGTTCGGGAGGTATTGCCTTATTGTGGTGTTTTGTTTAGTGTTTTATGTGTCTGTGAGTTCTGTTTTGTTTTAGGATTTTATGTGTCTGTGAGTTTGGGATGTATTGCCTTGCGGTGGTGTTTTGCCTTAGGGGTTTATGTGTCTGTGAGTTCGGGATGTATTGCCTTATGGTGATGTTTTGTTTAAGTACTTGTGGTACTTTACCGCCATCGGTGGCATTAACGTATGTTTCTGTGTGTTCGAGGTATATTGCTGTATTGTGGTGTTGTGGACAGAGCGTGTTGCTTCGTTCATACACACATGTACTTGTAGTGTTATGATACACACATGTACTTGTAGTGTTATGATACACACATGTACTTGTAGTGTTATGATACACACATGTACTTGTAGTTATATGACAGACCCATGTACTTCTAGTGTTATGACACACATATGTGCTTGTAGTGTTATGATACACACATGTACTTGTAGTGTTATGACAGACCCATGTACTTCTAGTGTTATGACACACATATGTGCTTGTAGTGTTATGATACACACATGTACTTGTAGTGTTATGACACACCCATGTACTTGTAGTGTTATGATACACAATACATATATACATACATGCACACCCCTCATTATCACCAACCGTATGCACAGGAGGGTCGCATCACAGCCTTTAAGGTGTTCCAAGACAGCGTGGGCATGCACTCCAAACGACTGATATCGGACCGCACCCAGCCCAGTGACACGCTTATACCTACCCCCGCGCAAGCAAACACACTCACGGTAGTCAAGGAGATCGCGCACTCGTACAGCGGGTCCCTCATGGCCACCAATGCTGAAGCCGGAGTGGATTCATTGTTAGGTAGGTATACTGTGGGTAGCCGCAAGATGGTGGGTAGGTATGCATGTGCGGGGAGGGATGGATGGGTGTGTGAGTGTGTTGGGGTTGTGTGTGTAGCTCACATCCACCGTGTAGCTCACAACCAACCCCGCTCATATCAACTTCGTTGTATATCCATAAATATATATATATATATATATATATATATATATATATATATATATATATATATATATATATATACTATACTACACTACTACGTACTATATACTATACGTAAC